TCTCTCTCCCTCTCTCTTTTGCATTGTTTCTGTATTGAAATGAAACTGCCCACGATGACCACCTGTCTAATATGAGCACTTTTCTCCTCGACAAGAGGGTTGGGGCCGGGGAAAGGGAGGGGATCACCATATAAGTTTACTAGGCTGCACCAAATAAGTTCACTACATTGAGGTTGTCAGGTGCTTTCCCCAAATTCCTTAATGCTTGGCGTTGTGGTGCCATTTATCTTGTGAATCTTTTGGAGATCAACTTAACTATTAAATGCATTTTATTCCTTTTACGTCTTTACTTCATTTCATTCACTTCCTTCACTTCCTTTACTTCCTTCGTGTAGCTTTCTTTCTCCTTCCTTGAGTTCAAATGTACTGACGCTGTCTCTCCTTTAGAGTATAATATCAAAGAAGTCAGTATTTGAAAGGAAGGTAGTATAGTACTTCGGCAAACTACTTCCTGTTTGTCCACCGCTCAGACAAAGCTGTAGCATGCATACTGCTTTAAGGTCGACTGTCATGGCACAAAAGACTACACATACCAGTAGTCCCTGTACTATTGCATTGTATGTGATTTCCTAGACAAGTACTTTTCCCCCTTGATTATTACTTTATATCTTTTACTAGTATATTATTCTGTTGGCCATTACATTATTTCTTTTACTTGTATCTTATTTTCTTGATTACTACTGTATTTCTTTTACCAGTTATGAGCGCCGTAAAGCACTTACCAAAACAAAAAATTTTTAAAAAACTTTTAACAGACCAGTATTCTATCACTTGATTATTACTTTATTTCTTTCACTAGTACTTAATTCTTATGGTGATTACTTTGTTTCTTTTACTAGTATTTTATACCTCTTATTGTTACTTTATTTCTTTCATAATTATTTCATTCTCTCTTTATTTCTTTTACTATTACAATGTTCTCTTAACTGTTGCTTTATTTCCTTTACCATTCCTTTATTTCCACAACTATTGCGTTGCTCCCTTTACAAAAGGAATCACTTTATTTCCTTTACCATTCCTTTATTTCCACAACTATTGCGTTGCTCCCTTTACAAAAGGAATCACTTTATTTCCTTTACCATTCCTTTATTTCCACAACTATTGCGTTGCTCCCTTTGCAAAAGGAATCACTTTATTTCCTTTACCATTCCTTTATTTCCACAACTATTGCGTTGCTCCCTTTACAAAAGGAATCACTTTATTTCCTTTATTCTCCTCGTTTAAATGTTATTTTGTACCTTGACTTTGCCAACAGTACGGGATCGCTGGCGGCTTCTGGTACTCCACCTCCGTAGTGGTCAACATCATCCTGTTCCCTCTGCTCTCCATCACCTTCAAGACTCGAGCGCCGGGGGCCAAGACTTATTTACAGGTAAGGATGACCGACGTTTGCTTTTACGCTGAGTGCAAATAGTTTGGCTTAGAAAAGATTGTTTAAACGTAGGTGTTTTACGCCCCCATCAACACCATTTAAGGGAGGAATTCCGTAACGAGCGACCACTATAAAATTTAGATTACTCTCAATGTCCAGAAAGATCGAGATATTAGTGGGTGGGGGGGGGGGGGGGGATTATCCATAGGAGAATCAAGCTAAGGTCTTCTGCGTGTCAGTCGGCGACAAAATTACTCCCCGCAGTCAATAAAATTGGAAGTTCTCTTTCGTTGTGCTCCCTCCACTATTCAAACAGGGAGTAATGACCTGTACGAATTTTCGTTTTGCGTTCCTTACATCTGACTGTAGAACAATGGCAAAGTTGACCTGACATCCCAAAACAAAACCACAACAAAAAGTTAAAAAGGATTCGTCTTTGAAATCAAACCCGGATGCTGGATATCGACCAAATCCCAGGGTTTACTGGAAAGTATATTTGATCTGGGTCGTGGGCCCTCGAGACAGGCTCATGGGTCACTGACTTGTAAACACTACCCTAGAATTACACAGTTCTATCTGCTCAGTAGGCCTACCTAGTTTTGAGAAATTGACGTTTAAAAAGGTTTGAATTTCACAATATGTCAATTTTTTCGGAAGCAGTTATTTGAATATCTTGATAACAGTCCCGAATAATCTTATGATTTTCATAGAGCAGCTAGAACATTGGTTTCTGACATCATGGTCTTAGTAATTCAAAACGGGCCAAAGGCAAAAATATTAGATAGAACTTTGTAATTCTAAAGAAGCAAAGTGTGTCCGTGGTCTATTCAGTGTCAACTCTGGGAGAAACCTGAAAGCCCATTGAAAAAACCACGCCAGAGTGAACTGTGAAAGGGGTGAACATTGTGGCACACTTGGTACACGAGGAATTAATGTTTGCGCCGTGCCTGCTCTGTTGTTGGCATTATTTACATTTCTCTCTCTCTATAGAGGGAATTCAATGTGTTTTATTTTAATAACTTGAAACACTCAAATTAATACGAACAGTCAAACTGGGAGCTAAACGTGGCCCATGGATAGCAAGTTAAGTCTGTGTTAGAGCTCACGATAAATCTTTTCAATAAACAAGTTCTTTTCAATATACGTTTTCTGCTTTCTCGGACGAATCTCTGTGTTTAAAAAAAAAGAAAAAGAGGGGATGAGGTAGAGGGATGAGGGGGGAGGGGGAGGGGCGAAGGTCTTGTTTCTTTCACAGGCGAATATTTCTCTGAGCCTTTGTTTGACAAAATAAATATTCTTTTTGTTTTTTCCTCACACGTTTATAATAACTAGCTGCTTGCTTGCCTTCATGTTAGGACGACAACTTACTGCCCAAGGTTCAAGATTATTATTTTATGTATTGCTTTAGACAGCTAAAATATCACGCATAATTGACGACAGTCTTGCTGTCACTGCGTCTTTAAAATATCTACTAGGTAAGAATAAAAATGAAAATAAACGTAAATAAATTCCTCTTCGTTTATCCTCCTGAGAATGGGTTTTATACTGGCGTATTTAACAACACTAACACATTAGTACATAAATGCATGAACAATGCACGATATCATAAGCTTCAGTCTCATCCTTTAATGTAAATTGGACATTTAGGATTACTTTCCTTAAAAATACAACATCTTGTTTTGAAAAAACGATAGCTACAAAGCGTCAGCAGAAAGTCAGGCATGCTTTGGAGATTCCAGTTTGCTTTTACACGCACAACTGTGAACCTACAAGGAACATAATTTTAAAAGTTGGAATAGGAAAGCAATGGCTCGATTTTGGAGAATTTTATAAGGAAACATAACTGTCCAAATTTTAGAATTCTACATTATATTCTCAAGTTCAAAAGCATAAAAATCTGGTTCCGTAATGTTCTTAAATTGGAGAAGAAAAATAAAACAGTTCCGAAAAGCAATAGGTAAAATGGTATTTTCTTTTGAAGAGAAACCGGAGTTTCCATCTTTTTTTTCTCCAAACGTGGTATCGTATGATACGGCATGGTTTGATAAGGTACAGTATGGCAACTTGTGGTGAGGTATAGTAATATGGTAGTATGATAAGGTATGGTCCTTCCGTATGGTATGGTATGGTATGGTATGATGCGAAACGATGGTATGGAATAGTGCGATATGAAACGTGGTGGGAAACTGAGATGGTGGGATGCGTTGAACGACACAGTCAGGTGCAGCACGGTATGGGTTTGACAACTCTTCTCAATGTCATCCCCATGTCTGTTAAGGAGAGAATATCAGAGCCACGCACTTTCGGATGTTATCGATACAATTAGGTTGCAAATTACCGAAACCAATACCATCCAATAATTAAAGTCACCTCTGTGTTTTATCAGGCCTGGGACCAGCATACATCAATTTGATAAATGGGAGCATTGTTTTGGATGTGCTGAAGTGAGAAAATGTTTGTTTTTCTCAACGTTTGTTTTCGCCCGAACCTTGCAGGTCTTCGTGCAGCAACTCCAGTTAATGTGAAAGCTAGCGCTTCTGTTGCCCCTGATTTTAAGTTTTCTATAGGAAAAGGCCTTCGCTACTCATGTGAGTTGTAAAACACTTGTGTCAGTCGTGGGGATTAAGAGAGGAATGATACTGCTAATACACATTCCTTCTCTCGTCGCCATGTTACAACTCACCACTTGATCATCAGAGTATTGGTCACTACCTCGAGTTGGGTCTGTCCTCAGGTGTTCCAGGCACGTTTTGGTAAAGCAGCTCACCTGGTCTACTGTGTGTTCGCTCTACTCACCAACCTTGTCATCATCAGTGTCCTCCTTATCGCTGGCCACGCTCTCTTCAAGTCCCTGGTGGCCGACATCTCGGACGAGCTCATCCTTTTGATCTTCGCCACACTCTTCGGTAAGTCGCTGCCTTAAAATTACATACAAAGTTCTATCTGATATTGTTTTGCTGTTTTAAGTAACTAAAACTGTTAGGTCAGAAACCAAATATTCTATCAGCTCTATCAGAATCGTAGGATAATTCGGAGTCGCTATCACGATATTTGAAACATGTGAAACTCTAACTTTTTCTACGTCAAAATTTTCAAAACTGGGTACTGCACAGATAGAACTGTGTAATTCTAGGGTAGGGAAGGGTCTCCAAATAAGTAGAGTCTAACGTCAATGTTTAAGCACACCACGAAATGGTCATACGTGTCGTTATACAAGTTCAACGCCCATTTCAACACTATGTGGTTATCTTAGAGGCAGGACCTTCGAATTTAACCTCCCTCTCTGATTGGACCGAGCCAAATGGACGGAGAGCCTTAAACACTCCTCAAAACAATCCAAGTTCAGGACACCCCGTTGGGGATCCAAACCCGGACAATCTACTCTGTAGTCCATTGTGATGGGTGCGTTTTAATTACAGCGATCATAACCCGCTGTGTCCTGTTCTATGACATAGATGCATCCCCTTCTGTGACCCTCACGGTGACCCCGGATTTGAGCATGAGATAAGTTACATCCGAAATGTTTGTGTGTGTGTTTATTTGTGTTTATGTGTGTGTGTGTGTGTGTGTGTGTGTGTGTGTGTGTGTGTGTGTGTGTGTGTGTGTGTGTGTGTGTGTGTGTGTGTGTGTGTGTGTGTGTTGGGGGAGGGGAGTGCAACTACACTTGTTGCGTTTCTTTTTAAAATGTAAACAAGTTGACATTATTATTCTGACCATAGTGAAAGGGTTGGAAAGGGGGGGGGGGTTCTATCTATGGCTTAGCTTTCTGAGATGATGATGATGATGATGATGATGATGATGATGATGATGATGATGATGATGATGATGATGATGATGATGATGATGATGATGATGATGATGATCACTGTCATCGTTATTATTAAGATTTGATTTGTGTGGGGTGCATCACAGTAGAAAGACGGAGACACAAGAGGAAATTACCTTTCGAGATCGGGAATCGAACACACTTCTTTTTAGGGCAAGGTGGAGAGCCTGTACCATTACACCACAAACAACGGCAAATCTTTCTCAGGGCAGATACATGTTCAAAACAAAAGACCGCTTGTTACGTCCCCCATTCTTTAACCTCTTCACCGCTGTATTGATGTACTCGCTTGTATTCTCCAAAACTAGTTCACCAGTGTATGGGGGTGTAGCATTTAGACGCCTTGCTGTCGCACGCAGGAGACCCGAGTTCTATTCCCGAGTGAGGAAAATAATGATTTTTTAATCGAGTATCTCGGTCTTTCTGCTAGGATGCTGTAACCCTCTCGGTCTGAGTCGGCCCTGACATACAGGGTGGGAAGCCTGCCTCCTAAATGATCTAAATTGAGTCGATGGGGGTGGAAAAGCTACATTTTAAAAAACAACGAAAAAAGAGGGTCTCTGCGCCTTCATTGTTTACAGGTTTACAGGGGAAATATAAGGAGGTGTAATTACGACTGGGTAGATCTGATTTTCTAAATTATGAAGGACTGCACTCTGGCTTTGTTTTAATATTTCTTAAATGAAACTTTTATCATCTTTTTTGTACAAATATTTGTGAGAGTGCTCCTGTGTGGTTTGTTCCTACTTTTCTATCAAATATCTTTCATCCTTATCTCTCTTTTTTCCTTTTTTATGTTTGTTACTCTCTTGTAACACCTTTAATTTTCGGCACTTATTTAACTTAATTCAATGCAAATGTCGTAAACGCTTACTAAAGCTAAAAATAAAACTAAAATGGTGGATATCTCTCGGTTATGAAGGGGTTAAGCCTAGTAACACACTACGACGACAGATGGCCAATACTTTTGTCGAGGAGTAGTAGAGATGCACGACTAAATAATTATTGTTGTGTTGGGTTGGTGTGGTAGCCTCGCCATCCATCTTCAAACCTAAATGGAAAAAGAGAGAGAGAGAGAGAG